TTTGAACACTTCTTACACTAACTAGGATTTATCAAAGAGGAAAGTCTTCAGTCTGATCTTAAAAGTAGACAGAGTGTCAGCTTCANCTGCCTTCCTGCCTGCCTGCCTGGGTTGGTGCCTACCTTCCTGGGTGGGTGTCTGCCTGCCTGGGTGCCTGCCTGCCTGCCTGCCTGGGTGGGTGGGTGCCTGCCTGCCTGTTAAGCTAACCTTCAGAATGAAATTAAGTGTTTGAGATTAAGTGAGATTAAGTGTTTGACATTAAGTAAGATTAATGTTTCCCTCGGTTTCCTCTCCTCAGGCTGCCACCTTGTCGTGGTGGAGAGGTTTGAGTGTCCCAATGATCCTAGGAGCTATGTTGTCAAGGGTCACCCAAGGCAAATAGGTCCTAGGTGAGGGATCAGACAAAGTGCAGCCCAAAGACCCCAGCCCGGGTGGGGTGGGGGGGGTGTCCTGGTGCTGGGACCACATGTGGACTCCCTTGTGTTTGGGCATGGTGTTTGTTGTGGACAGTCCATGGCGAGCACGGAGGTCCAGTGGCGGGACACAGCTTGGGGGTTACTCCCGGCCGTGCCTCTCCGGGTCTCGCTGTCTTTGCCCGCGTGGGTGTTGGGGTCCCCTGGCGGAGCGGGGGGGTCCCCGTTAGGGGCGCTCTCGGCATTCCCTCCGGGGTCTCTGGGGGAGCCCCGGGGTCATGTGGAGGTCTTTTCCGTGGCCTCTCTGAACTCCTTCCACACCTGGGTGTGTGTGTGAGTGTGTGAGAGTGTGTGTGTGCGTCTGTGTGTTTGTGTGTGTGAGTGCGTGTCTGTGTTTGTGTGTCTGAGAGTGTGTTTCTTCCTTCCTTCCTTCCTTCCTTCCTTCCTTCCTTCCTTCCTTCCTTCCTTCCTCCCTTCCTTCCACCTCGTCATCTCAAAAGGAGTTTTCTGGGACCCTGGAACCAAGAGGATTTTTAAGAACCTGGGGCCTCATGTATCAACGGTGCGTACGCACAAAAACCTTGCGTACGTCATTTTACACGCAAAACTCCAGATGTATAAAAACTCAACTGAATGTGGAAATGTGCACAGCCCCACACCAACTCCAGGGCTGGTGTCACACGTTTCTGTGGTTCTGGTTCTGTTCGAGACACTTAGAGGTGATCTGAGAAACTGTTCATGATGTGAAAATGATTATTGTTCACATCAGACACACATGATTAACAATTATTA